GGGGCGCCAAACTTTTGTCCTGCTTCGTACCCCTTCCAATAGCTCCTTCTCTTCGAATAGCACAAGCTACAACTGTCCACACACTTCAACACTAGCTCCATTTAACCTTGCAGTCCATGATAATAGCATCATAGGACAGTACATGCACTTTGCCTGAACAAAATATGTAAGCCAGTCAAGCTCAATTGGCATTTACACCTTATTCCTTAGCAAATTAAAACTACGACTTCCCTGAATGACACATAAATTTCAAGGTCAGATGTCTTTCTTTTTCATCATAGCAACAATACTAACATTCATGGTTGTTTATTTCCCCAGCTTGTAAGCCTCGACAAGAACCATGTGTCACTTTATCATATAACTTGTCCATTACTTCTTAAATCAATCAATAAATAAACATATTTTAAATGTACGAACTCGCTTGTGAAATTAAACAAATACTACTCTCGATATATAAAATAATAATTAAATTTTGGTAAGATTTCACTTTTAAAATCATGTAAGATATGGCCTTGAATAGGACTTCAAAGTGGTAGATGTTTTCCTTAACTATGGGATCCCCAAGTTTCCTTCCATTAATTATGAAAAGGATGCATCCTTTAGGTACCATCCTTGGAGATCGACATTTCAAGAACAAAAGGAAGTCCTCTTGAAACTGAGGAAGGCATGCCTTTCTTATTGCAGGAGGATTGGTTTCGGATACGTGGATAATACCTATTTGTTGTTTCACATAAATACTAATATTTTTGTGATGATTTATTTTTATTGATATTGAATTTGATTATATTTCGTAAATATTATGATGTTTATAATTTTTTTATTGTAAATTTAAACAATAGAATCGTAATTTATTTGTATATATTTTAATTTGATCATATTAATAGTATTAATTGTGTAAACAGGTTATAAATTATATAAATTTTAATCATATTAATTATGTTATATAAAATTTAACTCGACACGTTTAATAAACGTATTAATCATATCGTATCGTATTATATATTTATTAAATATATCCGTATATATCTTTAAGATCCTAATACAATTAAATAATCGTGTCGTGTTTGTCTTTACTTGTATAACTATTAATATCTCATGTTTAAATAATACTGTTAAAAC